TAGATAGATAGATAGATAGATAGATAGATAGATAGATAGATAGATAGATAGATAGATAGATGTATTTAACAGTTCTACTATTAGATATTTTACTGTATCTGGCCTTATGGCTGTAATAAACTGATTTAAGCCCACAATCCAGTTGGGCTGGGGCTGTGACAAAAATTACAGGTGATCAAGAACAGTTTTTTGTCATTTTAAGGTGGGAAACATATCAAAGTTAATGTATACCTTAAAACAGGCTTTTTTCCCTAAGAAATGGATAAAATCCTCAAAGTTCTTTCCAAGATCTAGGGATAAAACCAAAAATCCTCTCATTGATCATAAATGTCACATACTCCATGTACTGCAGTTTTTGGCCTCTTAAAATAGTTTAAATGCAGCCCACTGGTATCAAAAATTGCCTATGATTTAAATACCAAATGATGGTAGAGAAACAGTGCACCTATGACTATCTTAAGTTGGAATGGGAACACTGGCTTGATAAAAGTAAGAATATCTTCCCAATAACAGTTGTAACAACATGGTGAAATTGATCAAATCAATTACATTCAAGAGGGTGAGTTGTATTTGTGTGCCCTTCACAGTACAGACTGCTGCAGACAAAGATTGACAAAGCCATTTGATGGCATTCAGATGCTAATACAAAGTGGGAGAGAACTTGCTAGGACAATACCACCTTTTGGTAACATTCCTTAACAAAACAATGCCAAATCTTGGACCTATGAAATCATATGACTACAAACCACTCTCATGAACAATGAAAATTACAGAAAGATATAAACTTCCAGGATTTAATTTTATTTAATATACATTGTGAAGCTTTGTGCCAAGCAGACTTATTTTTAAAAAATTATCATCAGCTCTGCCATGCTGTTATAGTTTAAGAATACTGCTGAAGCAGCAAAGGAACACAAAAACAAAAACTCAAAGAGGACTGAGCCTGATTTTGCAAACTGCTCAATTTGGACAAGGTCTTCTAGTCACAAAACGTTTCTATTTATAATTCACCTAAAAATGCTGCATAATCATTAAACTGAAGTATACAATTTCCCAGTTCCATCTCAATGGCCTGGAGGGACTATAGATCCCCCCTCCCCCCTACTTCTTTTTCACACACACTCCTACTGTTTTCTTTGGCCTCAGCTGTGTCAGTAGTTAAAATGACTTCAACTCTGCTAAAGAAAAACAGCCAACAGCAATGGTAACAGGTGGCTGCTGGAATATCGAGTTGAAGAGAAACATTTGCACGTGTAGGGTGAAGAAACTTAGATTCAGCTTCCTTCTTCCTGTTCAACAATGGTTCAAAACACACTAAACTGTCTTCAAATATCTTGCTAATAGTTCAGTTCTTTTTAACTAGGCAATAATCATTTCTGACAGAAAAATGTTCCTGGCTTTGTGAAGAAAGGAAAGGTGATTGTCCTACTTCTATTCAACACTAGGCATCAGAAAAATCTGCCTCCTATGACAGAGACTATGAACATAAGATGGTTGGATCACTTTTTCAAGTAGCCATACAAGATAATGAAGAGACATGCTCTTGATTTGTGGGACTTTAAATAGAATGAATCAAAGCATAAACTTGACTTGGTTAATCTTTTCCTAAGATGAATGGGAAAAAATTCTACAAGCATTTTTATTATTATATGAACTATGTTTTCTCTGAATTAAAATTTCCCATTGTAATTAACAATAGTTATCAAGAAACAACGTAAAAATCCATGGACAGCATCTAATTAGGAAAACTGAACAATTTTTAAAGGTTACATTTTCCACTTGGATATTTATTTTGAACAAAGTCACATACAGTGAAACTTGTAGGTCAGTACTGTTTTTGGAAAACAGTTTATTCTGATTTGAAATATTTTCCAAAATACATTTCACTAGATCTCTATGAAAGAAATCTAAATACACAGAATAGAAAATTAAGTTCGCTGCAATGGTTGTTAAATACTTACAGTCACTAATATATACATAAAAATGCCACAAAATTATTTTGTTTATATCTGGAATGTGTGCTCCAATTTATCCAATAGGTTTTTCCATATCCTTTAGCCAGTCCTGCAACTGAAGGCTTGGCAGTACTGCTTTTATATGCTTACTGCTTTTATAAGTCAAAAATTATTTTTGAGGATCTAGAAGCAGCCTTTGAAGTTTCACAGCTGGGGCAGTTTGTCCACAGGGGTGTCAAATCTGAAATCTGCTGGGAAAAGGTCTGGAGCACGTGGATAAATCAGCCTATATGACTGTCTTATTGTAACATCAGCTACACCAGCAATGTCTCCAATTTCTGAAATAAAAATCAAGGTAGGTAAGTTAGCATTTATTTGCAAGAGATCTAATCCTCAAAACTCACAAGTAATACTTAACAACTCTGATGTACTTCCAAAATACATTATATAATTTACATCATAGGACTTTTACCCTGATATTTAAATTCAGACACTTTTAAGATTGGTTTCAACTAACACACACCAGCTAAGGTACAGAGAAACTGAGAGGGTTTTGCTGCAGAGGTCAGCAACAATACATGGTACTTATGCTCCAGACATTTACATTTATTTCCAATTCTTTCTGGACCCATCTGAAGTGCCTATATTAACCTCTACAAGTTAGACAATTTGATTTCTGTCCTGAGAAGTGCTCAATCTGCCACTAACTCAGTCTGCTCATCACACAAAGCAAAAATATGGTTCATTTTAACTTAATATGGGACACAAACACAGCCTCTGTGGCTTATTCAGCAAAGCGTGGTTTAGTATGTTCTGCAATTAATCTGACAGCCTACTAACTTAACCCAGAAGAAGTAACAGAAATTCAGGCATTGATTGTTGGACATGTGTTTCAAACAAAACAGAAGGGTCCTTATGCAAAGCAGAGCTTCTGGCATCAGTGCCAATCCTTTCTCTTTTCAAAAGAACAGCTACTTCTGGCATGAACAAAACATACCTTCACAGAAACATAAAGATATTACCTTTCTGTGTCCTCTTTTCAGCTGAGGCTTGTGAAGCCATATAAATAGCTGCAGCTGCAACTGAGATAGGACTCCTCCCAGGAACTAAGTCTAATTCCACAGCTTTACGCGCAATGTGTGTTGCTGCCATCTGGACTTGCTTAGGAAGGCCCAAGTTTGAACAAAATCTGGACATAAAATCTCCAGTAGTGATCAAATCCACACTTGTTTCTAAAGCTTTCAAGATGAGTTTGAAACACCGTCCTATTTCTTTTTTGGAAATTCTGGACACAGCACATATTTCTAAAAAATAAAGCAATAAACAAGGCCACAATGAATTAAGATCAACATTCTCAGTCTACCAATTAAAGCTTAACACTCAGTTCTTTCATTGTTAATGGTTCAATTTTCATAGCACAGATATAAAATTAATCTGACTAATAAACTGATATTAATTTTGAGAGGTCAACTCTGTCACAGCAATTTTTAACTGATAATTAATTGCTATATTCACACACACACACACACACACACACACACGGAAAGCAGAAATTAGCAGTATTTTTAAAAATGTTGAACTTTCAGCAAAAGGTTATAGAAGTGAAAATACTTGTATAGTTCAGCAACAACAAAGAATAACGATAGCCTTTGGATTAGTGGACAAATAAAAGTCTTAATTTCCTTGCATCAGTCTTTTCCTCATTAATTTTCATTTCAAAAAGAACAAAACACTCTCAAAATGAAGAAAATGTATTCAATTTGCGGATTAGAAATTATTTATCAATATGTGGCTTTGCTTCTTTTTTTAATCACTACAATTACACCCATACAGGCTTATAGGGGTGCAACACTAAGTCAAACTGCATATAACTTTCTGTAACCTTAAACTATTCAAAGGTTAGAAAAACAAATTAAAAACCACACATTAATACAAACATTCATGGAAGTTGTTAACTGCTTGGAGAGATGGTCTTCCAAACAAGAGTAATGCATGGTAACAATAGGCTTTGGTGCAATAGAGAACCAGTTTGGCATGTTCTTACTGATTTTGTACATTTTAATGTATTTTATTAATCTTTGGCCACTTTTCTGCAGGTTTTATCTATTTGTTACAACCGGTGGTCAAAACAATAAATTGATTGACTGATTAGCATAGTAAAAACTGAGAGGCTGAGAGTCCTACTTCTCTATAAGCATGAAAGCCAGCTGGGTGACTATGGACCAGTCACCCGCCCAGCCAAACCCACCTCAGAGGGTTGTTGTGGGGAAAATAGGAGGCTGGAGCATTAGATATATAAGCTGCCTTGACTGATTTAAAGCAAAGGTGGAATAAAATTTTAACGAAATAATAATTAAATGTTATTTAATTAAATAAATAATTAAATATTATTTAATTAAATAATATAAATGAATAATAATTTGACGTAAATAAATAATTAAATAAGCAAACAAATGTGGGTGGTATACAGGTAGTCCTTACTTAACGACTACAATAGGGACCATAAAAATTGGTCATTAAGCGGGGCAGTCATTAAGCAAGTCACCACATGGCCGGACTTGATTTTATGACCATCATTAAGCAATTCACCACAGTCATTAAGCAAATCACGTGGTCATTGAGTCCAGCTTCTCCAATGGACTTTTTTGCCAGAATTCACTTAATGATCACACTATTTGCTTAACAACCATCACAAAAAGGTTGCAAATAGTGATCACGTGACTGCGGGGGAGTTGCGATGGTTTGAATTGATCGTAAGTGCGAATACAGGTTGTAAAACACTTTTTCCAAGGCTGTCATAACTTCAAACCATTGTTAAATGAATGGTTGTTAAGCAAGAACTACCTGTACTCAATTGCTTCTTCTAATTACAGCTACCTTTTTTTCCTGGTGCCTTCAAGTCAGTCTTGACTCCTGGTGACTGCCTGAACTAGTTCCTGCAGTTTTCTTGGCAAGGTTTTTCAGAAGTGGTTTGCTGCTGCCTCCTTCCTAGGGCTGAGAGAGTGACTGGCCCAAGGTCACTCAACTGGCTTTGTGCCTAAGGTGGGACTAGAACTCAGTCTCCTGATTACTAGCTTGATGCCTAAACCACTACACCAAACAGGCTCTCACAGCTACCACACAGTCAATCAATTTATGTTCATCTTGGCTGCCTGTTATTTGAACCATAATAATTTTTGCTACAATGATACATGAGGTAATAATGTCCTATTCCCTTAGACCATTCAGCTCCCCAAATATTTTAGAATATTTTACAAAGAGCTATTTAATTAGGCAGGCCTGATGCTTGAATATATTTATTACATTGGGGGGGGGGGGTTGTATTACATGTTCTATGCAAAGTCCACCTCAGTATAGTTAATTCCCATCATTGCTTTAACACAACCAGACTATCACTCTTTTAAGCATTTTCTCTTTTAAATCCTACATTACACAAAAATACAGGTCAGAAAAGTTTCAAGTACAAAGCACTGGCAAGTTTTTGAAAGTGCAAGATTTGCTTTACTGCACTTGCATAACGAAGAAAAAAAGATTATGCAAGTTGGGGATCCTATGTTGATAAGCAGTTGAAGCACACGTCACTGAACACTCACCTTTAAATGTTCTAGGAACACCCTCTTGTCTGCAAGCAATGTAGAGACAAGCAGACGCAATGGCATCGTTACTTCTTCCCTTCAGGCTCTTCTGCTCATACACTTGCTTAAATAAATTATTTGTTCGATCCTTCAAAGCAAGAAGACAAAATTCAATTAACTCCAGGCCATTTAATTAGCAATAATATCAAAAATGCCTATGTTCATTATATTATGCTAAATGAATGCCAGAAAAATTTCATAGGACAAAGCGTAACTTACAACTATATTTCGGGGAAGATTGATTCTGTCAGCCATGCTAGCAATTTCCTTAAAGGCATTCATCATTGCACGGTCAAAGCTGCTCATAGTGCGACGATTTTGATACTTTGAATTCCCAAATTCATCAAAACTAGCTGCACCGGTGCCCTGCAGAAAAAGGGTTGAGAAACAGAGCACATTTACATTCACACAAAATACACATATTATTCATATCTTCTGGGAGGTGAGATGAACTAGAAGACAATATACCATCTAACTTAAACATCACCCTTTACTATTCTCTAATAATACAGTGATTATCAAGAAAGCACACTGGAACAGATATGTTATCTCAACATGGATTACAGAATGAACTTAAAATCTGTAAAGCACATATTGTGTAAAGATAAAGTGCTTTATAATGTTCATTTCATTCATTTTCAAAAAGTATCCTTCCACAAGCAATTAGCATCTCAAATTTAGAAATCAGTTGCCTACCTAGTTTTTACAGAATGTGAAATCCCATATTAACAAGCTTGAAGTAAATACCATACTACATAGAACAAAAGGAACAGCTAAAGTGGAATATAATCCCAGGGGTTTCAGACTGACGTACAGTTACTCATATATTAGCATAGTATTGATTAAGTATCTAAGCATGGACTGAATTAATCTCTAGTATCAGAAAGTCAAGGTAACTTATTCCACCAAATGCTGAACTAAAGAATTTTTTTGCTTCATGCATTATCCTATTAAGATGGCTTGATATTGATGTGGAATCAGAAAGAAAGCAGAGGAATTAAATATATTTAGGATGCCACTGTTCCTTATTTCATCACCAGCCATTATCTACATTCAATTCCTATTAAAAGCACATGGAATATGTAGAAAATTCAGAAGAAAGTCACCTATTTTCTCTTTCTTCCTGCTGGGCTTCTGCAGTAGGCACATATGAATTATTAGCCTTCTATAAAACTCCACAGATGGGAACTACAGTCTTTGCCACCAGCCAGGTCAGCTCAGAAGAAAAACAATTTGGAAAGGAGTACTTTTGGTTTAATTATCTTATGTATTTCACTGTCTGGCTGAAACCAGAGAGATGAGGAACCACACATACTGTGCTATTTATCCATAACATGTTATTTCTATGCTTTCTTAACAAAATGACTACCAGAAGGAGGAAGAGAGCCACCTTCTGTCGTTCACAAAAATTTAAAATTTCCTAAATCTGGACCAAGCCCAGTCCAGAAAATAAAAGCAAAGAGTGAAAGTAGGGCTCTGGGTGGAGAAAATATTTGAAGGAATGAACTGCCAACACAAGAATGTTCCCTCTCCTCCCTGCCTGATTCATACCGGCTGGGCCGACTGGAGCTGTAGTCCAAAATGACAGAGAGCGCCAGATGGGGAAACTCAATGGCAGAGGAGAGGTATCTAAGCAGGAACTCTGGGCAAGTGACAGGAAGCCTGGGGAACAGAAGCAGGAGGAAACCTTTCCATCATAACTTTTCCCCCCAGAGTCTTACAGCACAGCTCATAGCTTCAATTTCAGCATCCATTAATGTTTTAGAATAAAACAACTTGAAGCCAACATTTAACATTCTTTCTTATCAACAAGACTTTGCCAAACTGTTGTCCATTATAGAAAAAATGCCCAATACAATAGGTGCTGACCTTACATACTGCACAATCTTGTAAAAGATTTATATTTTTTATAAAATAATCTGTGTGTGTGTGTGTGTGTGACAAAATCTGTAACTGAGTAATACCTGTATTAGCAGCAACCAAAATATCATACCAAGTGCTACTCTTTAGCTCTCCAGAACTGTGTACCAAGCATTACCAAAAAAAAAAAAAAAGAGGGGGAAAGTAGGAAGATCAGATTTGTTTTTGAAACACGATCCCTAAGGGAGAGTTTTGGAGAATTCAAAAGCTTACACACTGTTTGGGTGCACTTTGGTTGGTTGGTCTTACCCAGCTACAGCTTTTGGTGTTCCCCCCCAGAAATCTTTTTTTTTTAATGTGCTTACAGAATTACTGAATTTAGCCATACAGGTTAAATTCTATCTTCAAAGGAAGAAGATTCAATGCAATCTGAAAAAGAAAATTTTAAGAGACCAATATCTAGCCACTAGATTAAGGTGGTTTAATTTACTTTATACTCATTACACCACTGAAAATTACTCCCTGGTTTTGCTGAAATAAATATTAATGTTTCTTTATTTCTCTTCTCTACAAACCTATGGAATCTGTATAAATTATCTATGGAAGGAGAGGAACCTTGGGGGCGAGAGGCTGCAATTTAACACCAAAATACCTAACAATAGGCCTTGTGACAATAAATTGCAGAAATGTATGCAATTTCTGCATAAATGATGCTGTCACAATATGAATCTTGTGGCAATAAACTGCAGAAATTAAAGATGAAACGTCACTGTAGCCACCTTTAAGCTCTCTTACAAACATTAATTGTCCAGTAAGCCATTCACCATTCTATTATTAAGCTGACTTTGAGGAAAGCTTTTCTTAACCACTTCCCAAAACAAGGATATGGCAATATTCTAATTTCACAGTTAACTACACTACAAATGTTGGGTCTTATTTTCTTAATAACCATGAATAAGTAATTGGGAGCTCATCCTCCACTGATACCATAATATATCAAAGCTAGCTCACAATGTTTTGTTGACTATGTAACTCAGACAAGGATTCTGACAAAAAAAACCTATGTCTCAGTAGAAGACCACTCTATTTGTATACAGGGTGATACAATGTGCATCCTTGTGCAAAACATATAGCTCCCTAGTAAGTTAAGATTCTGTGATGGCTGCTGAAAAAAGTATGGATAAGACCTGTAGCCATCAGTTCAAAAGGCTTTGACATTAACTTAAATGGTATCAACAAAAGAATGCATCAGACTGGAAGGGTAACTGGCAGATGAAAATGTATCAAACTTTATAACCCAGTTTACAAAAAAATGACAACACTTCAAATAGGTTAAACAATAAAATAGCTGCTATATATACTTTCAGTGAAGATAAAGAAGCTAAACCACTCTTCTTTAAATCTGAAAGCTAAAACATAAACAATCTGACCCTCTTTGACATCTAGTTGGATAGAGAGGGAGAAGTCTGACATCTGTCCCAAATGGGACAGTATGGAAGCACCACATTTGCGAAGGAGATATCTGAAGTCATGCCAACATACGTCTGAGCAACTGGAAAGCTTATACAAGCTTTCACTCTCAAACTGAGCCCAGCCCTACTTGCAGGACTATCACTGTGGGAGAAGAGCAGCTCATTTGGTGGCACTGATGACTGTTCCCATGAACTGGATGTAATAAATGGTAATGGTAAATGGTAAAACACAAAATGGGTAAGTTGAACCATATCTGAATTGTATGCTTCTGTTATTTTTACTGTGATAGTAAATATATAATGTATATTGATATTTTAGTGCTTTTGTAAGAGTTGCTTTTATTTCACTCTAACTGATCATTTGAATTGTATTTGGGTAGCGTTCCAGATTTCTAATGAGGAGGAAAGTTAAATAAGTTTTGGTTTTTTGTTTTAGTTTATTCCTTACCAGCAAAATGAACCCTACTGAGCCACTCAAATCAACATGGTCCTGAATTGAAGAACAATGTCCTTAGTTTCAATAATATTAAGACAAGGAACATCAGTGTTTAGAACTTTGGATTGCTCATCATCAAGACCAAGATAGATTCTTGGATTACTTCAACAACACCTGGGAATAGAGGACTTAATTGAGAGTCCACTAACAGAGATACTGATGGAAATGGAGCCTGAGGTAACTGGTCAGGCAAGGAGCCCCATTTTATGAAGGTGAGGACTGGCTTTTAGGGCAGGAAGGCAGAGATGGGGATTATTTCACATTTTTCCTTATCTTTTGAACTTGTTCAGGACTAGGCAGGGCTGTCTTTTCTGGAACCTTAAATGCTTATCTATCAATCTCCCTGGCACTGGTGACAACATAGTGTCATCTAGATTTCCAAGAGGAGGTACTGATTTTGAACTGTCTTAAAAGGGAACAATGTGAGTCCCAGTGCTTCTTCAGAACCATGGTGGGAGCTTTAAAATGACAGAGTGAACAAGATAAAGCAGAGGAATGAGCTGCTGTAGCCTCTTCAAGGATTGCTCCCAGAGAGTACTTGGTTGTCATACTGAATGACTGCAGTGGGCATATTTAGTTTAGTTTATTAAAATATATGATCAGAGACCATACACTGAAGTTAAAAAATATATTACACAGCATCCAATAAAAGCCTATTCATGCCTGCACCAATGCACCTAGGAAAACAGTCAGATCCAAAAACTCCTAATTGGCATAGCAATACTACAAAATTTAGTTACAATTCCAGACACTTCGGGACCCTGGTTGTTTAATAGGTAGTGCACAACTGACATATGAGAGTGATCTGAATAGTTTGTAATTAGAGGGGACATTAATTCTGTCTTCCAAAAGTGATAGATAGGAAATTTCAAATGTGAGCTATTGTCTCCATGACAAAATCTGAGCAAAAAACTGGACAAAAGGAATGCTCAGAGCCAATTAATATGCAAATAATATGGCAGTCCAGTATGTATGCAGAGAAGACAGGACTCCCATCAAAAATCTCTTAAGCTCTAGAAGGTTCTCAATGGAGCTTTGCACAAGTGCAAAAAACAATGTTTGAGGATCATAGCGATCACAAAGATGTTTAGAGTCTGGATGCATCCCTATATACAGTGGTACCTTGGTTCATCAACTTAATTTGTTCCACGACTCTGGTCACGACCCAAATTGGTCGCGACCCGAATCAAATTTTCCCATAAGGTTCAATGTAAATACGGTTAATCCGTTCTGAACCATAAGTTTTTTTTTAAAACCAG